TGTAATAAATGCTACTAAGTTATACCTAAAAACTAGCAAAACGGTAAATGTGTAGGTACCGAGAAGCGAAAGTAAATAGCTAACCTAATAAATAGTCTTCCGTGATCATTAGGCACAATTCAACTTTGATATGAACGTACATACAACGAAAATCAATTTCATAAAAATGAAATCTTTCTTGAAACGGTTTTCTTTGTGTTACGTAAGCGAGCATTAAGAAGGGATTTCCAAAAATTCCCACTGGAACGGATGATAACACGTTCTGCGCAGTTCCTGAATTTTGTACAACTCACTTGGGTGGGTACCAACATTTTACCTATTTCTGTCAGAATCCAACAATGCTTGCGTTGTTGTAGTCAAGTCTAAAGATAGCCTATATAGTGCTATATCCGATATAAGACGGTAATCCTCACCAGTGAAAACACTTGCAATGTATGAGATGTGCATGAGCGCTATGATGTTTTTGGCCTAAGTTTTCAGTGATCTTTCCATTTTGTAATATGTAAATAAAGTTCACGTGCACGAAACGAGTGATAAAAATAGAGTGTCTTTTCCCGTAAAGTGTATAAAAAAATGCTTTTAAAATTTACGGCAGACACATTTTGCATGACTAATGGATGGTAACAACGTACTAGTATCGTATTATAAATTGTAAAAGTCTCAATAAAATAGCCCGTTACTTAAAATATTTGTGTATTACTAATATTGTATTAATAATATAATTTTCCTTCATGTTTTCTTTTTAGCTCACGCTATATAACAGATATCATATTAAAAACAACAAGAAGTATGTACGTATTTTCCGTTTCAAAGCCCAACCCAGGTCCTACCTATTTGCTTAATGATAAACTTATTTGCAATATTCCAATATCAAAACCATAAAAATACAGATAAACATGTACAATGATAGTTTCATTACTCATGGCTATGATATATCATTTTGGCACAGAAGTTCGTTTATTTTATTAAAATATAATAATAATAAAAACTTTTGAGGCAGACTAATAAGTTTAACTTTTAGGATAGATAGTTTTATGACAGAGCACATATTTTAGCGAATTTTGAACTATCTCATAAGTTGATATGTTGTTGTAGTTATGTAATTTTTGTGCATCAGTGATTTTTAACGACATCCACTATATTTCTTTAATATAATTGTAATGGATAACAAAGTATCTGATCTGCATCTGATAGCTCCACGGACTACCATATTTTTTCCAACTATTTTAATGCTATTGGTCATTACTGGCTTTTATAGGTTCATTGCACAAAAAGAGGGCGAGTGCAAAGCGCGCTACAAAACTCCGAACCCAAGAAACGACTCATGGTAATTTCACTGCCTTATTTCCACCCTTCAACCAAAACACAACTTACAAAGCAAGCTGCTTGGCGGCTGAAATAGGTAAAACTAGGGTACTTTAGTTTTACCTATTTCAGCCGCCAAGCAGACAACTTTTTAAAAAGTCTACAAGAATCCAATATAAAAGTCGGGGATCATCAGTAGTAGATACCTAATGGAGACGAGTGGCCACATAGCTTATTATCTATGTGGTGTGACCTACGTAATTATATTGTAACACAGGAGCACTATTTCATTATTACTAAAAAAAGAACATGGAAACTGACTACAACAATTATTTTAAATAATTAAAATAATTGTTGTTGTCAGCTTCCATGTTCTTTTTTACCTAACAGATTATATATTTAAGTAATCAATCTTCGTTAGATAACACCCGCTCAAGTAAATTGGTGTATCTGATTTTGAATGTAACTTCAATGGTAAATTGTATTGATTTTGACCTTACTTATATAGATTTGTAATTAACACAATTTGCTATTGAAGTTACATTCAAAATCAGAGGCTACTTTGAATATAATGTTTAATTTATTTCTCCTGTCAGTAGAAGGTATTGTTTAAAGGTAGGTAGGTGTTTTTATGGATCAGAATGAAGGAGTGGTATACTGCTATATGCTGTATACTGGTATATAAATAATTTATTTTTAATTATCGTGTTTAGCTAAACTTGTTACTTATAATTAGGTAAATTTCTTAGTTAAAATCACTATTCGTCTAAGTTATCCCTATTATAACACAACAAATTATTTAATAATGTTCACGTTGGAATATTGAAAAGACGAACTGTTCTATGCAAATGTAAATCCTATGCCGAATTTTGTATAAGAAAAATAAAGGAAGTTTTAATTTCATTAAATTGTGAGCATCCGCCGCTATTTCGGAAGTTTAGTTAAGGAAAAATTTGTATTTTTTGATGCCACATTCTTTGTAATACATAACAAATTTTAAAGAATAAAGAATCGTAAGTTATAATGATTCTCGTACTGATGTTCCTATAAATTTTATTATTATTGTGGTGCATATTTTATTAATGTTAATTATTGGTATAAATCGTTTAGAAGCATATTTGAAACTTACTTTTGTTAACTGTAACAGGCTATTAAAATATATATTTAATTATATATTTAAATGAAATATATTATTAAATATATTATATTTCATAAATATACTTATACATTTTTAGTTGTATAACAATCCTACATTAAAATAGAAAGAAAAGAGTACGTTCCTGTTACTTATCAAATTCTGATGGTTTTTATTATGTCGTGTATTTTCAGGATTTTAAACTATTATTAATATTCGAGCTATTAAGGATAATAGCTACGTTATCTGGACGGGAAATCAACATGGAAGTCCTAGTAATCGTTGATACATGTACTGAACACAGAATATGGTAGAATAACTTGGCCATTAGTGTTTGATTGCTCAAGTTGTAGGTAAATACATATGTGTAGCAATCAAACAAAATGTATCTCTGTTTATGTAATGAACATCTGGAAGACTTAACAATAAATTTAGTAGTGAGTATTAATTATAAGACCAAAAAATACATTAGTTAAAATTCACTTGTCTAAAATGCACTCTTGTTAGTCGGCATCACTATAGTCAGATATTAGTACTGAGGTAGTAATTATTCAAAGTTATATGCGTTGGTTCCTTTGTTTCAACTACTTCAGAGGTGAGGATGACCTGATGTGGTACGATAGTAACAACAGATCTACAAGTCCTCATTATTATCAATCTCCCAATATGTACACACGACTGTATGTAATAGTTTAATAAATAGTTTGTATAATAAATATTATATTTATTGTATCACAACTGAACAAAGCTTATAGGGTATGGTGAAAAGGGTCGGCACTTTGATATACACATACCTCCTAAGTATTCCTATTGTAAATATTTTTATCGAACGTTTAGTGTAATGTAAATAAATATTACCCGCCTGCTGGTTTATGATTGTGCTTTTGGCGAAAGTATTTTTGTGTTGTAGCCGCTGCCATGGTCTTACACCCAAACATACTGACTTCATTAATTTATAGTCGTATACAGTTGATTAAAAAGAAACAGAAAACAATGTGCCTGGCAATTCTCCACGAAGCAGTGGTGTGTATTTTGACTAAACACGAAAAATATTTAATATCCTCGTTATTTACCGGAGGAAATTGCGACGGATGTGACATTTGGTATGTTGTACATGAATTATTGAGACAAACGATAATAAAGTAGAATGTCTTGATCTCTGTAGGCACATAAATGTCATGTAATAATAAATACATATGTATATTAGTACCTACAACTATTTAGTTCCCAAAAGATAACTTGACTACTATATATGTTATAAATTTTTTTAGAATCAAATTATTTATTACATATATATATACTATAAACATATTGTTCTATTTATTTGTTATTGAGGGGTAAAAATTAAAGTTAATTAATAGGCAAGTAGATTGCATAGTTGAATTTTTTTCGGGAAAGTCATAATTAGTATTAGAAATATGTGTTACAGGTCACTCTACTCTAGACCTTTACCTCCAGATTACAAAAAAATGACAGAATAATTAGGAATTTATACATTCTTTTTTCTTTGTTTGACTCTATACCTAAAACAACATAAGAAATGTTTTTTCATACACCGAAAAGTATCTTATAAGTAAAAGATATATGTGCAACGTTGCTAAAAAACTGCCAATAACAGCGATACGCTACATACGAGGTTATGGGGATCATTTATAAAACCTTGTATCAGTTTGTAAATACAGACGTAAACTTTATTTTATTATATACCTCTATTCTCATTCGTTCACTCTTGTAATGGAAAAAGCTTGGTAGTTATGTAATATTATATTATCTGTGGTAGTATACAGTATGTCTCTAGTAATTTCCAACCCAATATATATGACATTTGTATTATCAGTTGAATTGTATTTTTCTTTTATTTCCTCATTCTGACTATCAACCGCTTTTATAAAATAGATACCTATATTTAAAGTCTACCAAAACGCTTTTGACGGTTATCACATATACGTAGATTTTTCAAAAATGCCGTGTTGTTTTTATTGTGTATGTATGTATGTATATAATTAATACATTGGTTTATCAGTAACGATATTATAATACCTAACAGAGCTATGATACTTTAGGGTACATGTCATTTGACCTAAGTAAAATTTCAGCAATACAAAGGCACTAACTAGCAATATATAGTAGTACAATAGTTAAGCTCAGTTCGGTATTGTTAGTAATGCGAACTAGTGACCTTAAACCTTCACGCGGTCCCCCTGGAAATTAGAGTGGTTAATTACTCTTCAAATCGCCACGCTCATCTAACTGACTTTACTTCAGGCTTATCTTATCACCCGCCACTGGTCTCCCGCCAGGATATACTGTTAGCACAGGCAGGAGAATCATTTCATTATCACCTATTAGAAAATAGGTAAGTTCAAATATAAAATGCATTTAATTTAATTAACTTCGAAAACAGACGTTTATTGACGACGATTTATGAGACGTTTAAAGTAGTGTAATTATACAAATAATGAATATTTGTATAATTACACTACTTTAAACATACTTAAGAATATAAAAGAAATAAAAAACAGTAATGGTTATGATGCACAGATGCATGTGCTGCACTTACGAACGAGAGGCGCGCCGGTGAGGCGGGATCGATTTAGCAGCTCCGGGCACCGCCAACCATCGGTTCACCCCGAACAATACTTCAATCCACCACCACTGCACTACACTCTTGATTAAACTTGAACTACAACAACTATTCACTTAACAGATTCAAGTTTTTACGAAATTGATTTTCTTAATAGATCACAGCACTTTAATAATTATTATGTTAATTTAAATGCTATTCGAATTTTAATATGTTTAGTTAAGAAGTAACAATTTTTATAAGAGAAGTTTTATTTTATACGTGTTAAATGTCAAAATATTATTGACGCTGGATGTCTCTACGCCAAAATATTTAACGTTATGTGACAAACTGACTATCCGCATTTCATTATATATATGTACAGGTTCTGCTATCTTTTAGTTTGCGTATCGATTCAGTTATCGCGTGAGAGATAATGCGAGATATTTGTGATATATTCACGGAATTTATCACAGGTAGGGGTCGACGATTCTACTGTGATTCGAAATTAAATTATCTAAGTACAGCGAAATGCTTTTAAGTCGAACGCTACGAAGGCAACATCGATTACATTTTATATCGTAAGTCAATAGTAGGTATGTTATCTCAGGAGAATAGAAAATTGAAGTAAATCAATTTAAATTATTTATATATTCCTTATTGCATTTTTAAATACAAGATTTCAAATCCATCTTAGAAATTTTGTTTGCAAAGGAGGAGACTCATCTTTAAGATATATCTTTTCCTGTCAACCCAAAACAGTGTGACACAGGAAGTGGTGTGTGGGTCTCAGAAGAGCAAATAATTAAAGTAATAAAAGACAAAATTAAATAAGTAATTAAAACTAAAACTAAGGAATTAAAGTTTAATAGAATAAATTATATAGATATCAACATAATGTATTAATATATGATTACGTTAAGTTTTAAATGTTTCTGTGTACATATATACAAAAACATAGTGTTAACGTAAACATTATAAGCGAATAGTATAAATAAATGCAGATATACATGCTGGAAACGTGTCTAACTATGTGGACAAGATATTGTATATTGAATTATGCAAATTTATTTACGTATAACTATTATTCTTGATAAATATTAAAAGCATTTTTTAAAAGTAATGGATTTTTTTTCATTTATCATATTGAAGAAGGCAGGCACTAAAAATTTAAAAAAAATTCCGATCCTTTATCAATAATTACGTATGTGTGTATTTAAGTTTTTTATTTTAAGAGTATATTATAGTGTGTTTATGGATATTAAAAAATACATGCAATAATTTATCTACTAGCACACTATAAATTACACTCAATAAATACAGATATTTTATTAGTAGCATGCAGAGTAGAGATATAGATCATAATCTAATTTTAAACTTGTATGTATTAAAAAAAACGTATTCTGTCTATAAAACTGTGTTCTCCTTTCGAAATCAAATATATTGTTCTTTTGAACGAAAGTGAGAAAAACTGTAATAGGTTTATAGGAGGTTTTAGTTTTTAAGAATAGGACGTAGCTTATTCTATAAATAGAAAAATCCGATATAGAACTATAGCATTAAAGTAATTTAAAAGTACATAATTAAATTGATTTAAACTTATACAAAATAAAAGAATTTAGGTTATGTTAATAATAAATAATAATAGTTTTTAGTTTTTCTTATCTTCAATATTCGTCCTCGATTCCAAGACTATTTTGAAATAGAAGATGTTTGTAGGGACTATATTATATACTAGTAGACAGATATTTAATGGAGATCAAGAATGAATATACAATAATAAATAGCACTGTTACGGGCTATAGGTAAAATTATGGAGCAAAAAAAATAATTATAAAAACATAGACGAAAGGAAATATATATGTATATAATACATATGTTAATTATAATACATATTACTATGGGACAATGTCAAAAAGTTAAAATGTAGATAACTATACCTACATTTTAACTAAGATTTGTAAAACAACGTCTCTAAGTTAGTGGAATGGCCTTTGTAAGCAACAAAGGGTATCTGGTATCAATGCAGATACAGCTGTAATGACGGATGATATTTCTCGGGTCCGACGGAAAGGTCCCTCCTACCTATTGTGTGGACGTAAATACTGACTGAAGTGAGTTCCTGAGTTGCCCGATGTGATTTAACCAGAATTCTGTTGGAAATAGCTACCGTCATGCGAATAGTTTACCTTTCAGAATCTAAAAATATAAGTAGATGTAATATTTTTAGTGAAATAAAATTGTCTGCCTAAACATTATATTATAAATCGACTTGAATGTTATGACTGTTTTAAGTCATAACTATAAACATTTTGTATTCTATTTTAATGAAGGTTAAAGTTTATATTAACTTTTTATTTAACCGCCAATAAAATACCCTCCTTTTTTAATCTCAAATATGATATACGAATTACATTAGATTTTGGCGGTAAGTGTGCCTAGCCTGAAGGCCTTGGCCGATATTTTTAATAAATGGGGTGCGTTAAGATTTATCCCTATTGTGGGAGTGACTACTACAGGCTACCTAACGACAGTTAGTAGAAAATAAAAATGGCGGCCATAAACTGTCAAAAACTTACTAAAAATTATTTTAGAAATTCGATAATAAAGTTTCGCAGATTTTGCCACGACTACCTGTAATGTTTATTGTTGTAATTAATTTAATAAATTATTTGAAAATAATCACAATTTACTAGAATTTCTTTAAGTAACATATTTATGTCATTGTCCGTACCAACAATACCATCCAATAAAAACGATATATTATTGTAATTGACACCTAAATTATAATTCCTAATTTTTAAATTTGGAATAGCAATACAAGTACATAAATTACAAAAAAAATCGCACATTAGATTTAACAAGTAACAGTCATTAGACACGTGCTTTCGAGCGGAAAACTCGTTGTTTACCGCGAGTGTCGGGTGTCGGGTGTCGCGCGGCGAAGCAGCGAGTGCGCGGCGTGAGACTGCGTTCAGTCCGGGCGGGCGCGTCTGGTCGGGCGGGAGATGGCGACGCACGCGGGGCGCGGGCGCGGCCGGGTGGCGCAACAGATACGCCACAGGTTGGGCGGCCCGGGCAACCCCCCGCCGATAGCGCCCACACCACCCGACTCTACACGCCAATTTACATCCTCATTATCGCCTCCAGAGTCAGCATCCAGAGGCACCTTCAACACACCACTATCGAAAAAAGATAGCTTCTACTTTGCTACTTCACAAAAAAATCAGTGACAAAATTTAAAGCAAAGTTATTCATATATATTTATATATATCAATATCTAGTATCTAGTGTATTATGTTTATAGGACTACTAACGGTCTACCTTTTTTAGTACTTCAAATGGACTGTGTTATATAAAAAAATGTTACACAGTCCTTTTGGACTTTTATTTGTAGAGAATCATTACTGTGCGTACTATTTTTTGTGTACACTGGGATTGATGTAATCTGTGTATTTATTTATCTGCCTTTGAGAATCTTTCTTATCTAAGTCGGTAGGAACATTAACTGATAGTTTGAGCTTTCCTGAAATTCTGCCAATAGCCTCTTATTATTAGCTTCCTTTTACGTAATTAAGCAGACTAGTTACTTGCTTTCAAGTTATTAATAGATCATCGCCCTCATCCCTGTAACTACTTGCCATTTAATGAAGATTGTAAAAATTTATAAGTCTGAAACTAAACTCTCTGTCATTAAATATATGTACATATATTTAATGACAGGAAATAATTCATAGAGCTAATCTATAATCTGTAACATTCATCTCCAATATGCATCTCATTGGTATTATATATATATTATATTATATATATACCATATCCTTATGAGATTTATTGATTACAATGGAATTTATGGTACGTAAGTACATTATATCAAAGGGAGGATTTATCATAGAACCATCGTATTTCAACTTGTCTCCACTAAACTTGAAATAGACGGGAGTAATAACTATATTTTATCCTATTTATTGGCCACAGAGATAATTTACTCCATGTTACTTTATATTGGACTATTTTATGACTCTTTGATAAATAGGTAGCTAAATGTTTTCAAAGATCTTTAATGTTCTGTAATCAAAAATATATAAATTAATAAATTTAAAGTGTTTAGTCAAATTGGACATTATTAGTCGTTAGAAATTCTAAAAACACTAAGGATATAAAACCTTTTTAAGATTTCACAGGTATATTATAAATTTCAAATAGAGAATTCTGTGCTCTGAGCGATCGGCATTTGTTTCAAGGGTAAGGCTACTGTGTCAAATAACTGTATTTAAGATATAGTTGTTGAGGTTCGTAATATGATTGACATGGGTGAATGAATAGTGGCAACAGTCGCCTATAGAAATTAAGGAACCATGAGATCGCAGAATAATAAATTCTAACACCCCTATACCACTAATGCTTTGCCATTCACGAGGACTAAATTATAATACCTTAATATCCTGTATTTGAATCTAAGTTTCTTAAACGAAACACAACTTACAAAGTAAGCTATTTAGCAACAGAAATAGGTGTGCCAGAGAACTTTAAAGTCCACCTCAGTATATCTTATCAGGTGAGTGCGACTGATTTATTTTATTACTTAACTTTGTATCAAAGTCGTTAAAGTCAATGTACTAAAATAACATTTTAGTACAGGGACTTATGTAATATTTGATATATTGTATAATCAAACATGCAATATGATACTTTTTTGTTAAGTTGCTCTTTATCTATCCATAATTTTCATTAATTGCATCTTTATTATCTGTTCACATTTGTGAAACCCTAGTGTGGTTGTGTTACATGTTTTCCAAATTTACACTAAATAGTTACTAAGATAATACATGTGTATAATGCTGCTCTAGTATGTTCTTATCAGATTTGGATGACCAGAGAGAGAAGCACGAGAGGTGAAGGTGAGTATTGACGTACATCGGTAAAGGGGCCCCTTAAACCTACACCCCTCCGAGCAGTTCCCGAGGCTTGTGGGTCACGAGTTGTGATCCACAAGTATCGGGAACAGCTCGGAGTTTCTCTCTCTGCCATACGAGGGACCGACAGCCGCACGCTGAAGTTCCTCTCACAGTGAGTGTGTAACCTCGTTGCAACAAAATTTTACTTATTTTTATATAGATGACTTTGGAATTTTTTAAGTTTTTCGTTAATAATTCCAATATCTATAATATTCTAATAATATTTCATTATTTAGATAGTGAAAATAGACGTCACACACGTTTTTGATTCCTCCTGCCCCCCCAACGTGTGGGATATAATTTACGGCTTCTTTAGAGTTATTATCTGATCATAATAATATATATTTATTTATGCATTTTAATTACAAGTAAACAGACGCAACACGAATCTCTCGTGTCGGTCAAGTCTGAACTCGAGACCACTGTATTGAAAGTTGAGATAGTGTAACTGTACGCATTGACGCTTACACTGATTGTACAGTACTAGATATATTACGTAACAAGCTATTATTAATAGTATGAGTATTGTGGTGTAGTAGCTAGCTACCACTAATATAAAGGCCGTGAGTACAAATTGGATACGAAAGAAACTTTAGGTGGATTTATATTTCTGGATGACTCTGCGGAGCGGGTAACTCCGATGACAATACAAAAATTAATTCTGGATACGGCGGCAGGCTTGTCTGCTGCCACGTTATTTAAATATAATTATATAAATATAAATTAAAATGTGGACAAGCTAACTGTAGCGTTCATCATTACGTCCATAATTGACAATGCCTCACAATACCCCAATCATCATTACATAGTATAAAATATAGTCGCTGTCGCTGTCTGTCCCTATGTATGCTTAATTCTATAAAACTACGCAAATAAATTCTTTAAAGCTATATTTTTTTTATAATTGATACTTAAACTTACTGAATTGTTATTAGAAACTATTTTATTACTAGTTATTTACTGCAGCTTCATCTCTGTAAACTAAAAATATTCTGTTCCGTGAGGTGCTTATGGTGATGTTTCAAAGAAACTTCTGTGAACAATTTTATATAATAACCACGACAGTGTAAAGCTTTTATTTCATTCTCTAGTACTTACATTAATCAGGTTCTAATTGTAGGCGCCGATTCTTCCGAACTATCGATGTAGTTAGTCGATTTCCAGACCTTAATTTGTTGGATTTTCGTAGGATGGCAGTAGATTATTTAGGTAGTGTATAAACTTTAGATTGTTTTTTGTTTAATTATGTAATCATCTACAGTGAGCATACTGTGAAAATGTAAAACTCGCTTAGCATGTAACAAAAATAAATACCTATGTATGTAGTACAAAATTTAACCATTTAACTTTGTAGAGCATCGAATACTTACCATTATAGCTAATTAATAATACTTAAAATTATTATTCCAATACTATAAACCTTACTATTTTGTTATTGTAGCTATAATTAGGTATAACTATAACATTTTGCTACATATCCACACTATGTATAGTTAGAATTATAACTTATGCTGCATTTATTACTATAAATATATTTTACAGGCGATTAGATATTGAAAACCGATAGGAAGATTTTTATTTTCAACAATATTTATCAGAACTAGAGTGTAACTGGAAGGTAGAGATATAAATTTCCATAACACTAAAATATATCTATATAAACATATTCAGAGCGCTTTCTTTGTAAAAAATTAGAGCGGTACCCTTTTATTTTTTTTTATTTCTTTGTGATCCTAAGTAATTATGACTGGCATTAATGGCTGTGACTGTGCATTTTTAGTTAGCTAAGCGTGCGAATGTCACCTGGTAATTTACTTGAAAATATATAAACATTGTTATTATTTTAATTAGTGTATTATAACGCTTAATTTTCTACATTTTCTCCGTTCTCATTCTCCATATGATAAAAGAATTCATGTTATTCTTACAGGTCTCTTTTTTGTCCTACGGAGTCATAAGCATACAGATATTGGCGTGAAAGAAGAACTTGAAATAAAACCCAGCAATAACAGGGGCATCAGTTGATGTATGTCGCTGAGTTACCAGTTTTAGGAAGGAATTCTAAACCAATTTATCATTTTATATGTATACCTAAACGCTGTTATATATGATACATATATAGTACATATAGTATGGAAGAGGATCTGACTTACAAGATGTTTTGAATATAAAGGATGATAATAATTATTAAAAATAATACATTGTCTACAAAATAAGACAATGTATTTTTTCACTGATTCTATTGTTATTTGTCTCTATTTCTATATAGATTTTCAACAATGAATACATAGTCATTTAGGTATTGAAAAGTCATGCTGCTCTTATAGATATATAGGTTTTGATAAAATCGAAGTCAAATATATAACAATGTTTCATTTAGAAATAAATAATTTGAAATAAAATGTAATTATATTACACATTACTTGTACTTAAGTCTCTTATACTTATTATAATGATGTAAATACAGTAATAACATTGGCAACCAAATTATTAAGTAAGAGAGATATTGTTGACTTCGTTTGCTTTCTAATTTCCGCCGTTAATACAGGTTAACCAATCTATTACACGTATATCCTATTACATTTGTGAGGCTATAGGCACGATTTCCGGTTTCTAATTAAGCTTTGTTCAGTATCGGCTTTCCCGGTGAAAATCCACGGCGGAACCTATTAAGCCTTCATCTTGCAAGGCAGAAAAATCCTTTACTGACTTTTCTATAAAATGGATAGATATAATTGATATTTGTAAATATATATACACATGTATTAAACTTATACCTAGATGTAGGTAACACATCTGTATATATAGGTAATTTTGTTATTAATATGTGGCTAATATGTATATACCGAATATAGTTTTTTTGAAGCAAATAACAAACAGTTTCTGCTTTGCTATAGAAAGAGAGTATAGCCTATTATTGTTTATAATTTAGCTGTGCCCGTTCAAAAATAGATCATAGTACAGATAAGATAATATTGCAGACTTGTAAT